ATAACAACAAGTTGATGTGTTTTTTCCAGTTCATTTAGTTTTTAAGCGCCAGATTTGTACGTTTGTGCAATGATTGTGTAATTGCTGTTAACCACTGAGTTTGAAAAGCATCATATCATTGATCCTCAGTTTGCAGATAAACAGACACTTGCAAGGCAGCAGTATTGATTGTTCAGTCATTGAGTCTGATTTGAGATTTCACAGATACTGTACTTCTGAACTTGTGTTTTCACAAACCTTATTTAAAGAAACCTAAGGTAAATGTAACATGGTTTAACAAAAACGATGAATTGTAGTCATGTGGTTTTGTGTGTCTGCAGGTGTTGGAAGTTAAAGTAAAACCTTTGCCATTATGCAATTCATAAATGGGTATAGCAAATTAAGAGAAAGAAAGAAAGAATATAGGCATTGAAATGACATGCAGTGAGTCAGTTCTGGTCCATTAAACTTAAATGTGGTGGTTTCTGTGGAGACCAGTCCATCATACTACATTGGCGTTATCATCTCTCAGTATTTCCTTTTTAAATTGTAGCTGTTTAGTGCTGCAGCTGCTGCATCAAGCAAAGAACCAGTAAATACTGACCTGAGACATAAGATTGAGTATGATGTCACATGTTTTTACTGTTTTTATGATGCCCATTCAATTAATATGAAGCCCTGTGGGATAGCAAAACCTCATTCCACCGTCTGGGAGATTGACTCATATAACACACACATAATATAAAAGAAAATGTTGCCTGCTTGAGTGAGCTTTCCTCTGCAACCTCCTCACAGCACATTCACACATGCACAAAACAAGTACACATGTTGTGCACGCATCTACCAGTTACGAGCGTTCACAGTTTGAGGAAAACATATTTAAACATACATGCTTACACTAAAGAGCCATGGCATTGTGGTTAGAATCTGTCTAATACAATGGTGTAGTAAAGAAATAATAATAGCTGAGTTGGGTAGTGAAGTATTTGTGTTTTGATAAACTGCTTCTCGTCAACTCTGGTTCGAAAGTCTGGGAACGCCCGCTTATGGGAAAGTGAGTGTTAAGGAATGTGTGACTTAATACGTCTTCTGGCATCTTTCATATTGTCTATGACGTATAATAAGCCTGACCAAAGGTCGATCTCACTTGTGGTTGAGAGAATTGGAATATTTTATGTTTTGTGTTGGGAGGTGTCATCCATTATACACATCAGCCAAGGCACAACAGTCCCCTTGTAAAACCACATTTAAATTCACCTGATCTGGATTTTTATTTGGATCTACTCCAGATTGCACGCACTCATAAATATTGTTCCCTTGAGTATAATAAGATTTTTTTTCATTAAGATCCATGTATTATCCCTCGAAATCGATGGAAATAAAAAATGCCTTGTTTTGCTGTTGAAGAAAGTAATAGAATATGCCTGGATCCAAGGCAACATTTAATGGGTTCTTTCTTGGCCCATGTCCCATCCTTCCACCGAGTATTTTTTGTGTAATCCTGTTGACAAGCGAACCAACAAACAAACAAATGGACAAGGGCAAAAACATCTTCTTTCGCAGAAGTAATAATGACGATCCTGACATGACTTATGACTTGTTATCTGCTCCCTGTAATGTGGCAGTTTCATTTGTACTTGAAGCTTTGTTTGCTCTGACAGCAGATCTGTGTTATAAAAAAGCCATATATTCAAGTAAGAACAAATGAGGCTCATTAATTTGATCCGTGTATCCACCACTATGAGTGCCAACAAAAAGATCAGCCATTTTTATCAAACAAACACATGTTTTCTTCATCAGTGAGAGAAGCTGAATATTCATCTTACTGAAAAACCTGTTTCTCGGGGCACGATGATGCAAAAATAGACCACAGAGATGAAGTCGCATCTCCTTATTGGTGCTCTTGCTGACTGTGCCGGCTGTGTCGCCGCATTCTGCTGCTAAGCCACTGCTGGGTGACTTTGAAAGTAGCCCATTGCCTTCTTGCCAACAAAATAGCCTTGGGATAGCTTGGCACGCTCTCTAGTCGTGTTTTGCTTTTTTTATTTCTCTCTGTCTCTCTCTTGTTGTCCCTGCTATCCTCTTTCGTTCAGCACACTCACTCTCCTTTGTTTCTCTTTCTGTATGATTCTTTCCCAATGTCTGATTTCCTCTGTCTGCCACCCGCCACCCCCCCACACTCTTGTATCCTTTCGCTCAAACCACTTTGTTACTGTTGTCTAGCTTGTCATCTCTCTCTCTCGCTCTCTCTGTCTCTCTCTCTCTCTCTCCCCCCCGCCTACCTCTCTCTCTCGCACACTCTCTCCCTCCCTCTCTCTCTAAAAGCAGCTTAATTCTATCATCTTACACTTGGACAGCAGTAATTACATTTATGACACAAATCCTGCTACTCACAGCAAAATGCTTTGTGTGTAAGAGACCCAAGTGTGTGTTTGTGTTTATGTTTTGGTATGTGGATGCATGCTCATCACCCAGTGTGTGTGTGTGCCTGATAACCCAGCCAAACAGCACTAAGCTATTTTAACACTGTTTATATCGTAAATATTATAAACTGATTGTAGTTGACCTCAAACTTTGCACCTTGCATTGTGTTTGAAAGAAAAACAACTCACTCATGGTTAATATGGAATGCATTATTCCACACTGGCATGTACAAATCTGGGCGTGTCTTTTGCTGGATGATGAATTTATTGTCAGATGCCTTTTTAACTTTGATGCTGCTTGTGTTTTGAGAATGTTGTTGGCAACTGCAGCCATGTTGGGGTGAAGAGTTTCGGGAGTGTGAATAAAAGGAATAATATATCAAAAATCCTGGACGATTCATGTAGAGTTTATTCATGCTTTTGGTGGCCTTGGTTCAAAAGTTACTGGCAACTCTAATCCCCGATCCTTTGAGTTTTCCAGCAGTGGATTAGCTATTGAAATGGACCTACATAACTTTATTTTTTTACTTTACTCACCACACTCAGCCTGAGAAGTGATTTTACTCCAGACTCGTCACAAACTGTTTTTAATCATGGGCAACATTACGACTCCCAAGAGTGAAGCCAAAGCGTCTCAATCTTCCCCTGGTGGCTGGCAGCAGTTTAGGTCATAAACCTTGCCACCTCCATGTTAGTGTATCGGACGAGGACCAAACTAACAAGTCAGAATACTCCACAAATACTTTTTCCTTAAACATGGTTTTTATACTTTCAGGGTTATTCTTATTACACATGTATATCTTCAAGAGATAATTTGGTTTTAACTAGTTTTTGGTGCTATAAACATGGGGTTGAACGTTTTGATTGACAGCTGAGGTTGCATGCTTCAAGTGATTGTACTGTGGTGAAAGATGGTAGCTATCATGTCCGAGATGGACAGAGATATGGACAAAAGTGAAGTTCTTTTTTGTATGTTAAGGTGTCATGACAAATATTATTTTGATTTGAGTTGATAGATCTATCGCTGCAACACTGCCAATGTGCATGGTTTCTCAAGCCCATTGGTCTTAAATATCTACTAATGTCTAAATACTCACTTAACCTAAACACATACTTATTTTGTTTTGGAAAGTACATGATAACAGTAAATGTCTAAGATATATAAATCCATAGGAAAACTTAAAGTAATATTCTGTTGACTTGTATCTATCCAGTTGTGTCAAACTTATTCTACAGCATCGATCCAGGGTTGATCCAGAACAGTTGATTCGCATAGCATCTGATAATGTTTACTTCTTCAGTGTGCATCTGCATGCCATGTGTACTGTGTTTATAGATGGGAGTGTTATGGCCCTTGTCCATCTCCTCCCCCAGCAGCCGCCTTAAATTATGCATGTGCATACATTCAGTATGTGTTATTACTCTTTATGTGTTTGTGTGTGTTTGGTTAATGGTTTTTTAAATAGATGTGGAAGCCACATCAGCCCTCTCATATCCTCACACACACACAAACACACACAAAGAGCAGGCATGTGTGTACGGGGAATCATTAGCTAAAGTGATGCAGGTTTGGCTATCATGAATCACAGTGGCATCATATCGACAAGGCAGAGCCAGCAAGGAATCCAAAGTGTGTGTGTGTGTGTGTGTGTGTGTGTGTGTGTGTGTGTGTGTGTGTGTGTGTGTGTGTGTGTGTGTGTGTGTGTGTAAGGATTACCAGTATTTTCAGTTGGCAGTCAGCCCAGCCTTCCTCCCTCCTTCCCATTTTTCTCTGTCTCCCTCTCTGACACCGCGGAATTCCTTGGAGGGAACTTAATTTGCTGTCTCCCTGTCGTCGTTCCTCCTGTCCCTTTTCTTCCCCATCTTGCCTCCCATCAGTGTCCTCCCTGTTCCGGGTAGCACACGGTGACAGGCCGAACAGAAAACATACATTACCTCCTTGCTGCTCTTTTGTTTTACAGTCAGCAGCCCTCACATGCGGCTGGGGACATTACAATAAACTTGCTCCATCTTAAGCAGTCAGCCTGTCATTAACTTTAGAGTTTGAGCAGCAGGGTACCGAGATTTTAAGGTAGCGCAAGACATGGCTTAATTTTTTCCACAAATTATTAAGCTTCACAACTTATCTCCACCGCATCTCTGATCTCCCTTTCCGCCGTTGCTCTGTCTTCTCACACGTTGCTCTCCCCTTCATCATCCTCTTTGCCGCGTCCCTCCCTCCCTCAGTAATATCTCTCGCAGTATACTTGAGATGATGGATGGAGAACCAGTAACAGTGAAGCAGACTTCACATCCATCACAAACTCAACAACAGCACAGTTAACTGCATCACTGTATTTTTTTTGTCCTTGGCTCCGCTCTCCAGAGCTCAGACATGTCGTGGTCTTTCCGGCTCCACAGGCTTTTTAACCCAATCAGACCCGGGGACCGCAGGAATTAACCTATTTAATGGCCTCATCAGACTTTTGGCCATTTCCTTCCATATACTGTACATGCCTTTCAGGTCCCTTGTTCATTTTAATTGTATTTCCATCATATCCGTTTTAGTATGATGAGACTAATGCATCTGCCTTTCTGTGTCCCCCTTTGCATCCGCAGCTCCATCGAGTCCCATAGAACTTGGACCCACCCTTGGCCTGAAGAAATCCAGTTCATTGGAGAGTCTCCAGACGGCCATGTCAGAGGTGAACAGGAAAAACGAACTCCTCCCATTCCACCGTCCTCGCCCAAATATGGTCAGGGGAAGAGGCTGCAACGAGAGCTTCAGGGCAGCTATCGATAAATCCTACGATGGGCCACCTGAAGATGACGACGGTAAGGCAGATGAAAAGCATGTTGGCATGCATGTATGAAGGTGTGCTGTTTTGGTCCAGACATTGCTACAAAAGAAGTATAAGGAAAAAAAGACAGTTTACTCTGGATGTTGCTTTTTTCTCTGTTGCAATGTCTTAATATTCAATTTAAAGGAAGCTACCAGCTCAGCCTGCTGTATTTCCTCAGACACGGTGTTTCAGAGCCTCTAGGCTCTTATAGCAAAAGCTCTGTCTTCAGCTGAGGATCTGGAAGAGTTAAAAGGCCCCTGCCAGAGGGTCTCAAATATCTGTTATATACTGGGGAGCCAGAGCATTAAGTGCCTTGTAAGTAGTTAAAAGAACCTTAAAATCTCTTCTACAACATAACAGAAACCAGTGTAAAAAGGCCTAAACAGGGGTGATGTGTTCCAGCTTATTTATTCTGGTTAAAAGCCAGGCAGCTGAGATCTGTACTGAAGCTAGTCTAAAATAAGGGATATCCCAAAATGCTTTGACATCACTGATTGGAGTGTTTAGTATGAAGAGACAAGCCCAAAGTGACCTTTTATCATTTTCCAAAAAGACATGACTGACTTCCATATGCAGCATGTTTCCCAAATACTCTCTCCAGCAAATCAAGCCTCAAATTATCAACACACATGGTGCAGAGCTGCAGTGTTTCAACACAGTAGGTGATTCCATGTTGAGTTAGGCTTTCACTTTAAATATTTATCCGGGAGTTAAATGGCCATTGCTTCGTGTGTTTCATTGGGGTGGGGGTTGCGGTTCAATTCCCAGCTGTATTATTAGCAGCAAACTCTTATCAGTCACCACCAGAGTAATGAGTGGGGCTGTTTCAGATCACGACTCTCACACAGGATAGGACTAATAGGGCACGTCAACACCACGCACACGCAGCGGCCACATCTGTCACCATCTTTCTAAATGTTCAACACTTTGAGAGCTGCTGTTAATTGATAGATAGCAAGACTGTGAAAAGCACACTGAAGATCTCCCCCTCTTTGTGTTTTTCTCCTTCTCCACATTTAAATTACATCTTCACTTCTGTGTCAAATATCAAAGCACATCAGTCACCATCTGTCAGGTTTCCAGAGGTGGGTTGGCTGTTGTACTATCACACCACTGGTGATTTGGAGGGAACACGCTGCAAAGATTTTGACACTTTACGTGAATGTTTAATCTGGGTTAATGTTTGGCTGGTTCATTGTATGGGATCCTGAGTGAATCCAGCTAAAACTACAGTGCGTCACAGTTTCCAGTGAATTCAGCTGTCAAGAGGAGCGTTCACTCGAGGCTTTTGTGTCTTGTGTCAGCCGGGGTGGATTAGAGTGGTGAAAGTTGTTCTTCTCTCTTTTACCTCTTCTGTCTTTCCTCCCATGTTGTGTTAGCTTACTTCTGTTTAATCTGTGCCTCCTTCAGTTTTTTTTTCAACCTCCACCAAGGAGGATATGTTTTCATCTGTGATTATTTATCAGTTATTTAGCACGATTCTGCAAAAAACTGCTAGATTGATTAAGACTCTTGATGGGGGGATGTCAGGAAAGAACCCATTCAATTTTGTTTGGTTTTTTTAAGGTATAGGAATTTTTTTTTTTTTACATTTTCGTTGATTTCTCCGAGAATAATTGCTTGTGTAATTTGGTGGTGATCCAAATAAAATCTGGAACGAGTGAATTTAATTGTGGTTTCATAAGGGAACTTTTGGGTCTTGGAAGAGATATGTCTAATTTCCCTGTTTTGCTACTTCTAATGTCAGTAGTAAACAGCAGAATGTTATAGTGGTTTGCGGTGAGTTCTATTCCATGACATAGCTATTAAAACACAGCACATTGTAATGTACTTCAAACAAATACGTACTTCCAATGTTTTACACTGTTGTAGTTTGGTATAATAAAGAAAATAGCCCTGTGATTGATTTTATATGATGAATCATGACAGTGGTATGTTTTTGGTACAATATTGGCACTTTTAATTTAAATCAGATACATTTGAATGTGGCTTAGAACAAAGTTTTCTAAATTTGCGTTTCAAATATTACAAGCAAACCTCAGTAGTTTCTAAAGAACTGTTTAAAACCCTCTCAGAAAATACACATGCAACGCTATAATGGGGATTTTAGAGGTCGCAGCTGTGGCCATGGTCATGTTCAGTTTTTAGCTGCTTATTAGCAAGGACCAATACAAGCACGACGCACACACAGAAACACACACACACACACACACTCACACAATTACATTACATTTCTATCCTGTCAGAAGACAGTCTTTGTAATTAAGGGTGAAGTGAATATCCACACAAAGTTAAATCTCAATTGAAGTAACTAATTTGGTTTGGTTATCTTATAAAATCTGACAAGTGGTGTGTGCGCGCCTGTGTATGCGTGACATCATTGTTATTCAAAGCCAGAGCTCCAGTCTGTCGAAGAACTAATGAGGCGTTGCAGTTTACGCTTTGAACATTTTTGCTTTCTTATTATTGAAGAGTTAATTCATTCTCTGTCAAGTTAATAAATCTGATGTGGAAATGAGGAGTGGAGAAAGTTGGATAGGTGCACATCATTTTCAATCTCTGGTTTTATTTCGGTGTAACAAAACAACAGCAGTGGAGACAACTGATGTTCTTGTCTTCCACTGATACTACTCTGTAAAACACCATTCTTATTTTAATCCTCATCGTTCTTGTCTTTTTCTTCTTTCGGCCCCTCCACAGATGATGGTTCGGACCCGAGCTCAGGCCGTGACACCCCTGCAAGCAGTTCATCTCGCCAGGGACTGGGGGATCAGATAGAAGAGAAGGGCAAAAAAGACAAGAAAAAGAAGGCCAAGACAAAGAAGAAAGAGAAGAACAAGGGAAAAGGAAAAGAGAAAAAGAAAGCGGAGGAGCCCGAAGAGACGGAGAAGAAGAGCAAGAAAATAGGATTTGGGCTTCTGAGGTGAGTAACAGTGTGTGAGACAGAGAGAGATAAGGAAGCGAGAGATGATTATTTTAAAAATATTAATTAAACATGCATTCATTTTCATATGCCTCTTTCTATGTAAACTGTACGTGTGCGCGAGATTTTATGACCAATGCTATCTGGTAAAGTCACGTAATGTCTCGTTAGCACTACATGATTTTTTTTTTGCCCCGACCAGCGACACAGACGAAATACCCCCTGATCAGTGTGGTATACGCAGGCGTACTGGCGTAGTGGTGAGGAGCCCCTGGACTTTTACACTTCACATGTCTGTAATCAGGGATATCAAGTAATAACAATGTGTGTGAGGGACAAGGAAACACAAACTCACTGCAGCTTAATTGCATCGGGCTCGATTAGTTTACTTATTACCTGTATTCTTTTATATCCTACACAGAAGCGTCTCAGCTCTCCTCCAGCTTCATGTGTCATTCTTTGAGCAGGACGATCAGACATATTCACCGTGTCCCTTCTCACAGGTGTTTCCTCTGCTGTGTCTGTCCTGGTGAAAGATCGTGTACTGTCTGACGCCCTTTCACCATTCAGTCGTGTAGTATGAACTAACGAGACCCCTGATCAAAAGACAGCAAGTTGTGTAGTGTAAACTCGGCTTACTGTGTCAGTTTGTGAAACTGATGAACAAAAATGTGTTGTGTATTAAGCATTCTGTGGTCATGTTCTTTTTATGTTTTCACACAAAAAAATTATATTTACTATAAACCTCACATATTTTTTAATTTAATTGATGATATCAAACTGATAACTACAGCAGCACATCTTCAAACTGGCTGATAATCAGGTTAACCCACTGGATGGATGATCTGACCTCAAAGTGAGGTCGTGCCTTGGGTGCACATAAGTAACAGGACTGTTATACATGAACACTGGGGTCTTTTTTCCCCTCAGGAAACCCTATCACATTCTCATATGAAGGCACACAAAGTCCACTGTAAGAGCGCTGCCCCAATTTCCGTAAGAGCTCCTGAAAATGATCCGTCAGAACTATTTCATGTGATTAACTCTAATGCTGTATCGCAGTGTGAATGGGGCATATAGGTACACACTAGGCGTGAATAGGGCAAAGTGTTCCAATGAACAATTTGTACTTTTTCCCTTAATGACTACCTAATATGCTTCTATTTCGTTTTGCTGTGGTTGTTTCTGAAATGGGATTTCACACGACCATTACATAGATGCAGATCTGAAGAATAACACTTACTCGCAGCAAATTGAAAAACAAAATAAAGCCACAGTCTTTCAAAATACACTCACAAAAGGAGTCTGTGAACCCGAACACAGAAAAACACTTCCAGATTCCACACTTTATCACAGTGATTATATCTCAGGAGTGCATGTTATTTAAAGTGAAATGTTTGGCAATAAGACTAATATGCTTTAACGTTACCTAACTGAATAGATTCAGTGTCCTCTTTGAAAGTGTCCAACTTTTCCTTCACCTTCTCCTCACCTTGTTTTTCTCACTCTCAACGTTGTGCTCTCTCTTGTCCATTGATGAGAAATGACTATTTGCACTTAAGCCTGTTTATAATTATGTCCCCGCAAAGAGAAGCTGATATAAGAGAATGTAAGAGACACGGGATGGACACTCAAATCTATGTGACGTACACTCTGTAGTACAGTTCATTCCTTTTCTTTGTGATTTTAGTTGATTGTCAAATAGTCAGAGTGTTTTTGTTGCATTAGCAGCAGATACCTTAATTAAGATCATCTGCACAGCAACAGCACCTAATCATAAAATATTTGCTTTTTTGAAGTGAAGAACTGAATTCAGACTGTTGTGATTTGACATTTACAAGTCTAACACATTTGCTTTAGCCATAGTTCAACCATATCTCCCATTATCCCATTATTTGGACCACTGTACTTGATGATTAGAGTGTTAGTGATATATTGGATAGATATATGGTTGGCCAGTAAGTACACAAATTAATGACTGTTAGTGTGCCCACAACAGAATTGTAGCTGATAATCACGAGCCAATACAAATATACACTGGATTCTCTTTCATGAATTATCATTTCTAGATGATGAACTAGAATGGTTCTCAGTAGAGCACATACCTCCACCAAGGCCCAACAACATTCATAGATATCAGTCCTCTAGATTTGGTGGAGGTAATAAGAATATGAAACAAAAGGACTAAGAAATCAGTTGTAAAGCCTCTGCTGCCCGATGTACGTCTCTCAGAATAGCAGAGAACGGTGACGAGAGAGGTGCTGTTTATTTCAGTAATAACAGTTGTGCACCTTGTTGCTACTAGAGAGAGAGAGAGAGACCATTCCACTAATACACCCCCCTCTGTGGAATAAGTGCACCGACCTTTGTATTCCTGAGTGCTATGGATCATACATTAGTTAACTCTTTTATTTTTTATTTTTTTAAGGTGAGGAGGAAAACCAAGTTGCTTGAGTATGCCACGCACACACACACACACACACACACACACGCACACAATATCCCATGTGATAGATATGCGAATCTGTATCACTTAATAAATGGACATAGTGTATGTTTTGGTCTGGTTTGACATTGACAGAAGTTGCTCATCATATCAGAGGATGACAAGCTTTGTGTAGGAGCTATGGTCATCAGGAAGAGTGCACGCGTGTGTGTGAGTGTCATTAAGTGAAAGGTGAACTAATCCAGAGTCTCTAACAAGAAGTTTCTGAAAGTTCTTTGTAACTTGGTCACATCTGCTGCTTTGTCACTTTTAGACCCAACTTTCCCAAACCTGTGAGATTTTTCTAGTAAGTTTACATGAACCTGCCGACCTGTGGGTCGACTAGTACATAACTAATGTGCATGCATCAGACTAGGAACGCCACTGAAAAACCCTGAGGGGATTTTTGCCTCCCTGCTTTACTCTGCTCTGCTCTGTGTTGCTTGTTTGTCTGTTTGCAGGAGGGCAAGGCTGAGGTCCACACACACACACACACACACACACACACACACAGTGGTTTAACAGGCAAAAACCAAACTCACAGAATTCCCCCTCGCTCTTCTGTCCTCTCCTCACTCGCAACAATGGATTATTTCACAGAGACTCGCGCAGCCTGTTATGTTAATAGTTAAGTTGAAGATTTGTTACCATTAGTTAGTCCCAGAGTATGTCAAATTTATCTTAAAGGTTTTATATTCTATACATGTTTATCAAAAAAAAGTTTAAAAAATGTACTCATAACAAACAAGTTTACAATATTTTAATGTCATCTTAATTCTAGGGATGGTGAAGGCTCTTTAAAGAGCAAGACATTTTTTTTGTCAGTATTAAAATATATATTTGTTCCACTCTTTGCTTACTTTTTTTTATAAATATTACTGGTAATGTGATTCTCAGTTTGTGTTTGAGGAGTGACAGAGACAAGCAGACACACAGGCTGCGGACAGGAGAGGATTTCTCCCACAGATCATCACACAATGCAGTGTTTTACCTTCATTGCCTGCCCCCACTGCTAAAAAACTCTAGAGCAAGCATCATATATATCATCGAAATTATTTCTGTATTAATAATTGCTAAACAACATTACAAGGAAATGAATAATAATAAATATGCAATACATCATGTGAATCCCTCACATATTCCACGCCTCAGGTTCTCCACCATTCTCCGCTTCCAATTTTCCTTTACATCCCAGAGGCACATCATAACCCCCCCTTAAGATACAGACTACATATACATTTTCTCACCTCCTTCACTCCCTCACTCAGTCTTACCGGCTTAGCACTGCTTTAAGAGTGTCAGGGTTCAGGTGAGGTCACACGAACCCCTTCTGTTTATGTACATCCATTTCTCTTCTGCTTATGTACCACTCTGTTTGATTATGGTCTGGACAGCTCATATGGCACACCCAAGAATTCTCCAGTTTAATCGACCCACTCCTTTCCTCTACGCCCCCATCTCGCCATCCATCCTTTCATCTAACCGCCAATTCCCCGATCACTTATTGCCTTAAGTGCCTTAAGAAACCATATAAGACACCCAAGGATATATTTAGACCTTTTCTCTGCACCCCATCTCTCATCTCCATAAAGAGTCTTGATTAGAGCCCAGTGATAATCTCAACCTTCCCTCCTTCGTGCCTTTCTCGTCATATTCCTGTAACCTCCCTCCCTCCCCCACTATCTTTTCATCATTTCAATTTTTCCTTCTGTCTGCTCCCTTCAGCTCCAGCTCCCTATCTGCATTTGATTGCATGTAATGGTGGGAGACTGAGAAGGCAAATTGGTGCTATTCAGTACAGTTCAATCTAAGCCGAGCTACTGATTTGTCACATTCATCGGAGGCCAGCTTGGATTGGCCTAATGCTCGGGAGGAGAGGACGGTACGGGTACTCAGCCGTCCTAAGGCCTCTGGTTTTACTGGACCAAATGTTAATTTTGTTTCATCTGTTGGTTCACACAAAAAATTCTCTTCAATCTACTATTGTATTATGTTTTTGCTGTTAGTGATGTAATGTTTCTATTATAAATGTCTACCTATTCGCTGGTTTTTCCAAATCTAAGTGTGACTAAGGCTTGATTCAAATGTAGGTTTGACTTTAATGAAGAGATGCTGTAGAAGAGTAGAAAAGTTGAATGTAATTTACTGTAATGTTTCATTCACACTGTTATAACCCAGATATTAAAGACAGACTGTGGATGTTTGTTGTAAATGCCCTTTAAAGTGGACAGCTGGCTGTGTCATGTGAACTGCTGCCACCTGCCAGTCAGTTATGCCAATCATGTTATGTGTGTGTGTGTGTGTGTGTGTGTGTGTGTG